TTTAATTATCATTCTAAATCAACAGAAAGAAGACAATCACTCTCTAATGCCAAGTATCACCTTACAGAGTTAGGCAGAAAAAGAAATCTGATTTGTTATACACAGAAAAATCCATGACTAAACACTCTAGAATATATTACTGGGTTTATTGCTGAATGACAAAAATAATTCTTGGATGGATGCCTAATAGAAACAGTGATGGCTTTGAAGGAATTTCCTTTCAGATACATTAAACTATGTAACTGAAAAATTGATTTGAGGATGCTGTCGATTAACAGAATAGTGCTTGCTCTGATAGTAAGGATTGCTCTGAGGAAAGATTATTTTTTTAATGTTGTATTGAACCACTCATATCAAAACTAAAGTTTGTCCATTTACATTTTGTTTTAGCATTCAGACAACTTTACAGACCTCAGAATTCTGTGGCATCTTATTCAATTAAATAATTCTGACCAATTTCACACTTCAATATAACTGAAGTATTGAAACATGCTTTGATTTGAAATGATCTGTGGTGAAATATTCTGAATGGTAGAAAATGTAGAGGTTGTCCCACCTGCTTTTGATTGTAAGGTAAATTAAATTCTAAGTATCCATGAAAAGCATTTTGTAACAATTATTTAGTTTGGTTATTATTGCATTGAATAAATTTTTGTAAACCTGAGGCTTTCAAGGCAATGTACCTTCTATGAAAATTAGGATTAATAGTCCTTCTATAAAGATCACATTTCTGATATACAAAAGAAGAGGAGTTTGTGGCTAAATAATCAGCTCTTATCACTCCAGCTGGTTGATAACTCCAACTTTCAAAACAGAGTTAATCATAAAATATAAACAATTAATTATTACAAATAAAAATCTACCTTTTGAAAACCCAAGCTGTGTGGTGCAGTTGACATGCTGGAGGGGGAATGGCTTCAAAGAGAAAGAAAGTAGATTTGGATTTGACATAATAAAAAATCCTTTACTGTGAGGCTGGTGAGGCACAGAAGCAGGTTTCCCAGAGGAGTTGTGGGTGGCCCGTTCCTGGAGGTGTCCAGGTTGGATGGGTCTTCGAGCAATCTGGTGTAGTGGAAAGTGTACCTAGCCGTGTCAATGAGGTTGTAATTAAACAACCTGTAAGGTCCTTTCCAATCCAAATGTTTCTGCAGTTCTATGGATTTAGTTTTTCATAGGTTTGAAGCAAACATGAATGGAAAATATTTATATAGCATGCAAAGCCTAGTTCAAGGCATTCCTTATGGGAACAGACATAGGGGAAGAAGAATTTTCCAAATTTCTGCAACAAAGAGTTGTTCTCTAGATACGTAAATACAAAAAATGCTTCCTGAGTAGCTATGGTACCATCCACAGCAGGAAAACAACCTTTATTCTAATAAAGAAAATTACATTAATTAAGAAGATGACATGAATATCTTGGATTTGAAAATAAAATCGAGTGTTCTAGACAGTCCAGCTATTTTACAAAGTGTAGTTTGCCCATAATAACCATCATATTGTGCTAAAAAAAGGTCACCAAATAGTTTTAAATGCTGATTTTTTTCTTATGGAAAAAGAGATAGCTGTGTGAGAGAAAGAGAGCTTTCAGATGTATCCTCAGTGGAAGTTAGGATTATTTTTAATTTTATTGGAAATATATGTTTATTTTAGATGTCAGAAATAACAGTTAGTTTTCCAGTTTGTTTAAATGGACATATGTAAATAATGTCTGGTTTTTTGTTTTTATTTATCTGCCTGGTAGTGTACTGAACATTCACATATTCTAGATATCTGGGACACTACAAAAGAGCTGAATATCTCAACACATCTTAATTTTCATCAAAGCAATGGTTGACTGGGTCTACCACTTTGTTGTATGGCACAAGAGAGGGTTGTACTTACAGGGTCAAGGGAAGAAGAAAATGTTTTCCAGTGACTATGAGATATATCAGCGAATCTCTGTTGTAAAATAAGGAATCAAGAATAAAAAATTAAACCTAAAGGAGTACAGTAGAGACATGTTTTTAGGCATGTAGAATTTATTCCTTTGAGATTTTTGCATGCAGCATTTATTTCAATATTTTTACTTAACATATATATGAGCGTTATTATAATAAGCCATTATGGTATTTTTAGTATCATCTACATAGATACAGAAGGAAAATTCTGTAAATGTCAGTATGGCTTTTAGAAGAAGCTAATGTGAAGTTTTTTGGGTTTTTAAACTTTTTTTAACATTTTTTAATAGAGACTTGGCTAGGAGACAGAGAAATGCTATATATCTAAGAACCATTAGATCTTTCCTCCTGGTTGCTCCACACTTCTGCATGCTTCAGTTTTATGAGCAGGGATATGAAAGGTAACACTGATAAAATGTTGGAGGGGGCATAATTTTTTAAGAAAAAAAATTCTTTGTTTGTTTGTTTGCTTTAATTTTATCTTGCTAACTGATTGTATATTGACATCTATGCCATCATAAACGGGCATGTATAAAATATTAACTAAATGTCTTTGGATTATTGAGGGCAGTGAAACAGTTGTTTCAGATTTTTTTGTGTTGTTTATACACTTCAGAGTCAGGTATCTGTAACTTTTTGTGGATATGTATTTCACAGATTTTTAATTATGCAATGCAGTTTGAAGAACTGGTGCAGTGAGAATGGATGGAACTCCTTTTCTGTTAAAAAAAATTAAACACCCTTGGGATGTTCTGTGGAATTAATTTCAAATTGAATCTTGAAAGTAAATGAGATAAGTTCCCTACTTCTCTAGGTTATCAGAAAACTATTAACAAACTTTAGCTTTATTAAAAGAAATAATAATGGAGCTCCATTTCCACAACATTAATTTTTCAAATCTGGTTATATCATCGAATTATAAGAGCATGTAGAATTTCTTCACCTACCCCCTTCAGAGCTCATCACAATGGTACACTTTAAAACAAGAGACCTGTGGGAATAAGCTTTTATATGGTTTTGATTGGATAAGGAATTAGAAATTTGTCTTTGAAACTTCGTATTTAAAGTCAGTGTAGTCAATCTATAGCAAGTAAGTCTTGACATTGGTCTGCTGAACACTGGGAGACATACTACAGTTGAAGGTTTAATTCTGCAGACAGAAAAATTTTGGCTCTAAAATATATTTTTACTGAATCATGTGTACATTAATGTTTTCTCACTCTCTGACTGGAGTTATAATTAGCATTTTATTTAAAGAATATGATTAATTTGCTTTTATTCTTGTGATTTCTGTTATCAGTGGTATAAATTAATTGCAAAGCACTTCGTTACTATCTGATGATGGATACCATAGAGACAAATGCATAATACCTTTCTGTTATTTTTCAGGTGTTGTCTACACAAAGGGAAGTGCATTATTTAAGGTAGCTAAAGACTTTGATGGTAGAGGACCTGTCTATGCTGTAATATCTAATCTCAAACTATTTTGCATTTATGTATACATACAGTAACTTCAGAGGTTAGGGGAGAAAAAATGCTCAGGTAAGCTTTAAATTCATAGTGTTTATGTCTGTATTCCTTACTATAGCCTTCCTAAACTCATATAAAAGCATTTATATGATCAGGGAGTGGAAGTAAATGTCTTTAATTATGGGTTACTGTGTAATTAGTCCACCCCTGGGAGTACTAAACTCTGCATAGCCATATCAGAAAGCCTATGAAAATTTTTGAATGAGGCTGATTACTATAATACAGATTTAGGCTAGACTGAGTTAATTCCTACAATGTCAAATAGTATATTCTTAGAGAACATTAAATATTTTAACATCAACCATTTCAAATTTTCGGATGCCACTAAAGACAGTAATGTTCTGAAATATACAGTCTGATAATCCAACATTCACAGTTCCACTTGCTACCTCTGTACACATAAGCAAGCCTTTCAGTAAAATGAACCCTTCCTGCACAGCAGGATGAGATTAGGTTACTACGACCAAGGGAAAACAAACATCTAAGCAGGTGTTCCTGTCTGTGAATGTCATTAATATTTTATGTTATATCTCCATTTAAATATTAAAGAAGATAGACTATGGCACTTGCAGAATTTTAGATATGGGTTTCTTAGAACAGTTTATCTTTCTCTCCAGCATTTGAATATAAAGTATCAACAATAGTAGTCTGAGCTGTGTACTCTTTGCAGCTTCAACAAAAAATATGGATTGTAGACTAAGACTTCATATCACAATGCAGTGCTAGAAAAGATTTCATAAATAATTTTTCCGTTAAAAATGTGGAGTAAATAGCTAAAATATGTTCATGTTTTATTTCTCCTTTTAGAAACACATCCAGTGTTTATTCTCTTAACTATTACTGCCAATGAAATCAGACTAGCAACATCTGAAAGAAACAGGGCAGAGTTAATAAATATTAGTCTTATTCTCTGAGATCTATGGTTAAAATCTTGCAGCTTTTCAAAGATGCTTTCTGATATTTTGATATATCATTCTGACTGTAATTTATTAATAAAAATAATGAAAGAAGTTTAGATTTTGTGAAAATTGTAAAAAAATCTCTAGAAATATTGGTGCCAGAAAACAAGAAATGGTGTAACCTATTAAATTCTTGCCCCTGGTAGTTAGGAGTTTAAAAAGATTGTCCTTCTGTAACCTAAAATAAAAACTAGGACAAAAAAAAAAAAAAAAAAAATCTTGTTTAAGATATGAAACTTCTAATTTTACATATTTTACATATCTGGAACTGCACCATGCATTTTAATAAGTTGTAAGAGTATGTAATCTTCATTTGTGTATATAAACACACCTGTAGCTTTGCAGAAAAAAGATAATCAACAGGGCTTCATGTAAAGACCTTGTTCATGGCAACAGAGTGCACTTTTTTCTGCTATTTTTTTTCCCCAGTTACTACCATTCTGATTTTTCAGCACCACTAGCAGTACCAATAAAAATATTACTGAATCATTGTTGTCATTTGCAGACCCCAGATTCTTTTGTTTTCTTTATATTGAGATAAAGGTAAAAGGAAAATTTAAAAATCTGTCTCCATATGTTTTTAAGACGGTGTCTAATCCCACTGATCAGAAAGTTTTGATCTCCTTGGCTTCTACATATTCAGCTGGAGTTGCAAAAGCTCATCATCTTTCTGAAGGTATTCGAGATAGAAAGTGAATATGCTACTTTTAGATGCTTATAATGCAGACATCTGTGCTTGTCATCATAGGTTTTTTACATACTGTATATGGAGAAAGAAAAAAACCTTAAAAGAGCAATTAATATTATATACCATGAGTCTCCACTTTAGGGTGACATGAACTGTGCTCCAAGGTGATTATTTCTCCCTGTTGACAACAAAGGTTGTGTTGAATGACTCATTCAGGGGTATTTCATCAGTTTGATCCTGTATCTAGTACCTAAATGAAGAGAAGAAAACAAGAAAAGCACAAAAGACAAGGGCAATAAAATACAGTAAAATTCTTGCACTTTAAATCTGTTGGCTGTTTGACACATTAGTCTCACCAATGCAATTTTAATAGGTTCTGTCTGTTTTTAAACACTGGTATCTTACAGTCCTAGGCATATCCAAATGAATAAAAAAGCATTTGTGAAATGTAATTGCACACAACTCAGTCTATGTTATTCAGAAGAGTATAATGTGAAATCAGTGGAGTATTGCTCAATGGAACATATTTATGCCTGGCATGGGTCTGTCTTCATGTGATGGACTTCAATCAGTTCAGAAGGAATTGAGACAATCTGATAAACATTTGTTTGAGTCAATTATATTTGTTCAACCAATCAATGACTTGGATTTATATTAAAACACATTAGGGAGCTAGGAAATAAACAAACTTGATGGACAAGCACCACTTTAAAGTATCAATGATTTCCATGTAAATTAAAATTATATAGCTGAAAGGGAAATAACTACTCTGGAGAAATATTTGGCAGCCTGCCTGTTTATTTCAGCTATTCAGACAGCAAACAAGGGTGTCAAGGCTATTTAGAATTACATCTGTAACTTTTCTTTGATGCTGAGTGTTTGGGAATTATTAAATACTGCTTAAGGGTTGGTCTTGTGACTGAGATGAAGCTGAAACCAATGAAGTTTAGTAGCATTGAAGCTAGGAGTGTGGAAAAGCTTGAACTTTCCAATTTAATTATATAAAGAGTGTGATAGCATTTATTTCACAGCAATTCTTCTAGCTGATTTACATGGCCCTCAGGACTAGTTATTTTCCTTATCCCACTAGTCAGACTATGAAAAATGTAACCTTAACTTTTGTTGATGGTAGAAGCAAGAGACTAAGATGGAAAATTGCAATTATTGTGACTTTTTAAATCATGAAACACCCCAACTCTGTTGTAAGGGTAAGAAAAGAGAGAACAGCAAATTATAATTATTAAGTAATCAACTGTAAGCAGGGTATCATCTTGTGATCAAGGGCACTAGTTCATGTAAGTAAAAAATTCCATTTTAAAAGTAAAACCGTAGAAGTGTAGTTGATGCTCCAATTTTAGTATTTTCTTTTCCTTTTTTTCCTCCTTTTTTAATGGCTGCCATGGAAAGTGAAGAGCTTAGGAGAATAAAGCAAAGCAACTATAAAAAGCACAAACAAAGCTATGTTAACATCCCCAATCCTTCGGGTACTCAATTTGATCTGTGTGTAACTTTCTTGTGTAAAAGTGAGCAGCCTAGACACAACAAGCACAAAACTTTTATAGGGTGGGTCTTTTCCTCGAGGGCTGGTCAGTTCAACAACTTTCAATGAGTTGCTTGTGGGCAACAAACTCTTTTCAGACCTTTACAGGATTCTAAAAAATATTGCTCCATAGTCTCTGAAGATATTCTTTCTCAGACTTTACTGTTCTATTAGATCCTTAGTATATTTTTATATATGTCTTTTTTGATTTTATTTTCCCAGCTAAAATTCACTATATTTTTTTTTCTCTAGATGAACACATTTATCTTGCCTTTAAGTCAGGAACGCTCTCCCCTCCCTTTGCTCCATGTAGGAGCAAGGGCTGGGCCAAGGGAAGGAGCACAGCACACATTGAATCCTGATGCTCCCTTGTGGCCTGATAACAAAACAGAACACATAGCTCATGAAAATCTGTAGATGAAACAGCAGGTACCACTTAAGAGTAATCCCCAAAGCAGGGGAAATATCTGGACTGGTGACTGACAAGAGCTCGTATCCACATTTCAAGGTCAAGGTGCAAAACCAACACTAGGTGGTTATGCAGGGGCTGTTTCAGCATGTAGACACCTCTTGAACTTTATATTTAGGGATTAGTTTAAGACTGAAAGAATTAAGTCTGAACTGTGTTCCAAAAATTGATTTTAGCATTAACTCTTGTCATTCTATCTATCACAGGCATCCATGTATAAAGTGATATCTTTTTTCTCGCTTACTGAATGTACAGCCTCAGAAAAATCCTGTAAAAAATAAGTTCTGAGCTAAAGCCATTCTTTATGGGATAAAAGTAGCTCCTTGCATCTGTTTGGGAATAATTTAATTTAATTTAACTTAATTTAGTATTCATTTCTTTATATGGCATTATTAAAGGAGATTCTCACAGGGAGAGTAAAATTTAGTTACTTTTTTTCTACAGTATTTATTATTTCATATAAGTGTATAATACACTTTTTTGTGTTTCTTTTCTAAGAAAAATCCCTTCTTCCATACTCTTTATGTGAGACCATTCTTACACCCCGATACTTTTGTTTTCCAGCTATCATTGTTGCATTCCTTATTTTCATATCTAATTTTTCCAATTACCTCCTCTATTTTTTCCCCATATATTGAACTTTACATTCAAAAGGAAAGGGTTTTGACACCAGTACCTCCCTTTAATCACATGAGTGTGATTAGAATGGCATGTGTAATTACATTTTTTTTCCTGGATGCTTTTTAAAGTTTATTTTAACTTTTTCATTTGTTATATACTTCATCAATCATTTTTAGAAGAAGATAGATAAGCCTGCTGAAGACTAGCTAGACCTTTCTGGACTATTGTAGAATATACAACAAATTAGAAAAAAAAAATTAAAAATATTTTAATAATCTATAAAGAAACAAAGAGATATGAAACAGACAGTGGCATAAAAACTGCAATGAATATAAATGGAATTATAGATGTTGCTTCACAGTTTTATCATCATGTTTTTAATGTTGAGAGCTTGCAGCAGCAACATTTATTGAAATATGCCATTCACAGTTGACCAAATACTGAAAAGGTGTAACCAAAAATCATAATACTGGAAAAATTAATACTGAGTAAGGTGGCCAGTAAGGTTCCCCTGAAAAATAAAAATTTTTCAGAGGAAATGTCTTCATCAAGTTGGAGAAAAATATTAGCAATATTGCAAAGAACTTTATTAATATTTATATTGATCAATATTTTTTTACAGAGAATTCATAAGGATAGTTACCTTACCTATGACCCAAGATTCTGTTGTCGGTGATGCAAAATGTAAAATTTTATTTATCCTTGAATTCCAGGTATTTATTTTAACACTGTCACTTCAGTGACAAAACTTGTGAAAAGAGTTGTGAAGGAAAACTGAAAGAAATGTTTTGGTTTGAGGAACACTCTAAGATGCTACTTCCATCTTAAAATTTTGGGCAGAACCATTAATAAACAGGGTGAAAAATGAATAGCTCTTGGATTTTGCCTTCACTTTCCCTTATTTAGTGGCCATGTGCATTTTCTTTTACAGGTGTTAAACTTTGTGGCTTATCTTTGAATTTGTTTTTTGTTCCCTCTCTTCTTCACCCTATTGCATTTAAAAAAATAAATGAAATTTGGTTAGAAATCCAGTGCCCCAGTTTTCTTGTTATTGTTTAGTCTTCTGGAATCTGCTTCCATGTAACTTTTGCTAAGATTATCCTTTGCATAGATAAAGATATTTGGTGCAGTATATTTTGACCATGTGTTTTTTATTGAAACTGATGCACATTTAGTCTTGCATTCACAACCTTATTTTCTGGAGAGCTAGTGATCATTCAAGGGTAATTATTGTTACAGTTCGTCTGCTTGCTACATTTTATTTCGAAAAGAAACTCAAACACACTACAAACTGTCTTTATTTTTGCAGTTTTTCATGTAAATGATCATAGATAGCAATCATGCATTTTCACCCTGTGTTTCAGATAGTCTAATTTTGAATAAAAAACCCTTATGTGATTTTTTTGATTGTTGTCACAATTATGTCCCTGATCTCTGTCATTTTGTGAAATGTTTGCTACATTCCAGTCAAAAGCATTACTGAATGAGCTAGAGGAGGAAAAGCCAAGAAACATCTAGATTTTCTATTCAAACATGTAGTCTCTACTCTGTAATTTTGCCCAAAGTAAGGATTAATAAAAAAATCTTGAGTGTCCCAATAAAGGCAAACGCTTGTAAAAGCTGAGAAATGGGTGTTAACTCCTTGTGATCTGAGGTGGAAGAAGTATCACTGCAATCTCTTCCCTTCCATGGTCCAGCTCATCTTGTTATTTCAAAGCATTAAATTCTTCTCTACTTCTATGACCCAAATTAACATAATTAACACTTTAAAATATAAAAAGTGGGTATGGAAAGTATCTGTGAGATATTGATTGCTAGAAAGAAAAAAAAAGCTAGAAAAAGCAAAATGTAAAACAATCAAGCGTTTATTCAGAATGTATTTTTGAGAGCACTGATCAATCTGGAAAGCTGAAATATTTTTTAAAATTTATTATAAATTATAAAATGCTAAAATATAGCATTAATTTATAAATTACCAAAATGTTATTTTTCAGACATTATGTATTTTTTCCCTTTTTCTAAGTATATACATTATTCATTTAATATACATGTATATGAATCTGTACAGAAGACAGAAGTATGCCATTTTATCATGTACCAAGCCTCAAACTTAATAGTCTTTTCTCAAAAAAAAAATTAAAACTTTATCTGACTTTATCTGCATCTTAAAGTTCAGCTGACAGGAAATTTTATTTATGGACATATGAAAGAAAAGCATTTTCCGAAGAACTGTCTATGTGTCAGCATAAGCACATTAAGAAGTCTTGTGAAATAGAATTAAAGTCACAAAGACCAATTTCAGATTGTGTTTTTCTCTTTTTCTCTGTCACTGAGGCAGAATCTCACATAATTTAATTTTCTGAACATTGGCATGACTACAAAACTAAGATAGATCAGGGGTGTTCAAATTCCTGCATAAAATCTGTTCTGCATCAAACTTCAAGTGAATGGAAATTGTCTGCAATGTACTTTGTACACATTCTTGTAGGTGTTTTAAACCATGCTAATCCTTCTTATTCTGCTCTGTGCTGGACAGGATTTCATCACTGTGCCAAGAACATAACAGGAATTAGAAAGCATAAGGAGAATGGGGAGCCCTCAGCTAACAGTTACATTTTGG